TTGAAACTTAGAGGAATTTTTGCTAAATACCAGAACATAGAGAATCTAATGGTAATGCTGCTTTTTCTCTCACTCCCCATCAAACATCGCATATGGACGTAAGCCTCACCTATCTATTAGATGAAAATTAGAAAGTTTAACGCTAATCTGGACTCTTAGAAGCACACTTTAAACTAAAAGGTCTAGGAAAGGAAAGTGCCAAACATCAGCCACTTCATTATTTTGTTATTTATTTTTTGTCAAAGACAAGAAAAATCCTCTACAAAACCATCAACCAAGGTAAGGTTGTATGCAATAGTAAATCTGTCAATTTAAGAACATCATCATTTTGTATCGTTAAATGCCTACAACATATCACTATAAAGTCTTATAAAATGTTCACAACAACAAAGAAAATATTATATGAAAAAGTAAGATAGTTGAAAATTGCATTGAATATGAAAATACCAAAGTTTTACTAACAATTAAATTTAAAATATATTATCTAACTTAGAATAGAATCCTGGCTAATAAAAAAAGAATATGATGTACACAATATTATCGAAGATGTACATACATATTTAAATAAAACTATATTTTTTGATATTTGTTATACATTCTACCCAATGGTTCAATTACTTTATATGTAGCAATCGTGATGACGGGTGGAAGTAACTTCCATTCCCTGTGCTACTATCCTAACTTTCATCTACTCTCCAAGTGTCATCACCTCAATTCTGATGAGATGGAAAATTTGTAATTTCGATAATTTACGGCCAGTGATCTTTGGTCAGGTTTATGCTTGTATAATACATAAGTTTTTTATTTGAAGAACTTTAGATTTTAATTAAACTTGAAGGAGATTTCAATCTCAATACATCTGTTATTTACTTGCTTGTCACTTCTATCATATATTCTTTTAAGTGTTTACTATTCTCTGGACTGCTAATATCTTTTAACATTGCTAAAAATTATAAAGTTTGTACCAGCGTTTCTATGTAGGTTCAAAACTTTTAATCAGAGTTCTCTGAGTATTCTTCTCCTTTAAAGGATTTTTATCACTGCTGTTTCTACAGTGTTTTTATAAATGTTAATTTCTTAGATTTCTAGTTGATATCTCATAACATTGAATCTTTCTGACTTATTATACAATCGGATTATAATGTTACTAGTTACTTATTTGGTATGGGTTTGTTTCAGTATGGTTGAAACCGATTGGAAAACGAAACTTGTGCCTTTATTAATATTTTTCATTTCATAGAAAATCCTATCCCTAAAACCAAATATGCTTAACCAGATGTTTCATTTTTTTTTAATTTTGTTTTTTACCGTTTACCGTTGCGATTCTAGAGTAGGTACATTAAATTTAGTTTTATTGAAATTCCTTACATTGCATTTATAAAAATAATAAATTTTTCAATAAATAAATGGTAAAAAAATTAAAGCTATAATTTTGACTCTTACATAGTTCTACAATTTTTTTATTCATTGACTTAATAAAAATATCTTGAAAAAATTTACTACATATATACATGAAAATGCCATATAATGTATCATACATATAATATTTTAGAGGAGATCTTGAATCTTTTATTGTTTATTGAATTTGACGTGTTAGCTGAATTGAATAGACAGTAAAACTTTACTGAACGCTAAACTTGAATTCCTTTAAATATAAATAAAAACTCGTTTAACTAGACGACCTGAGAAATATATCGGATAATATATGTAGAAGTTATTATCACTTCGTAGTTTTCAAAAGAGTCACGTCAGCAAACTGACCGCGCATATTACATTATTCGTGATTATTGTCTGACTATTGAGCTTTTTTAGGTAACCTCGTATACGGTTAGGAGAATCCTTTATTTTGAAGAGGTCCTATGTCTGCAACAGCTTGAGTAAGACTGCTTTTAATTTTTACCCTTCTCTCTATTTATACCAACCAACACTCATGGTTATGCAGTTGACATCTCATGATTTTAACTACACTTAATAATAGATTATTTAAATAAAAGATATTCGCTCCACTGTATAATATAACGTCAATATTAAGCTCTGTCAAGTTTAATATATATGTATACAATTTTAGGTTCTCAGAATATCTATTCGTATATGTATTGAATTATAGGTACACTTCGTTCTGCAAATTTCAGATACCATCGTATGTAATTTTATTAGGTATCGAATGTTCAAACTAGTGTCCACATCGTTTAAACATTTTTGAGGCAACGCTTTGAGAGAATTTTGAAATGATATTTTTAAATATTTTGTAAGGAAAATTTTATTAACAATTTTAAAATAAATTCCCAAAAATATCAACTACAATTAATTCTTTAATTTTTTTGTTATAAAAGATTGCTCGAGTATATTTAAATTATATTAAAAATTGAGTTTTGAAGGTTAAACAAAAGACAATTACTATTGAGTTCGTTTAAGTTTCTTTAGCGATTTTATTATTTTTACTGTTTTGAGATATTACATAATTAACGGATATTTATAGCACCAATGTCTTTTTCTTTCAAATTTTGTGAACTTTGAATAGGATATATTTAAAAGAATAGAATACATATATTTAAAAGAATGAATTTTAAGTTCTACAGATGAAACATAATCTGAAACATCGTTTCATTATTCCCTTTCGTTTTTTTTCATTTTTCATGCGCTTATTTGTGCCACTAATTTAAATTTTGTAAGTACTTATAAATAATCTAAATTCATTTATATTGACTTACAATATAAATGACAAATTTCTTAAAATGACAAATAAATTATGATAGCACATTGCTTTTAGGAAGAACAACAAATTCTAATAATGATATCTGAAATTTTCGCAAGCAATGAATGTCTCGTCTGTCCGGGACTACGGTAAATTCAATGAAATCGAAACTTCGGAAAATGTATCATAATATAATAAACGATATCTTGTGTCCAGGGATATTCGATCATATTTTTTATCATTGTAAATCTGTCATTGTAAATTTAATAGATCAGACATATTAAGTCAGCGGTGGCCTAGTGGTTAATGGGCCCGTCTCTTGTTGCCGAGGGCGCAGGTGCAATCCTGGCATGTATAAGTGTGATTTTTCCAAGTCATACGTACTTTCTAAGAGTATTTAGACACCACTGACAGACGATGAAGGAAAAACATCGTGACGAAATCTGGACTTGTAATTTCACAATTTTAAGTTTGAAATCACCAAACCGTCATGAGCAAGCGTTTGGATTAATGCTAACAAATTCTCTATGTGAGAAAGAGGCCTTTGCTCAGAAGTGGGTTCTGATAGACTGGTGACGTGGCGAAATTTAATAGAAGTAATTTATTCATATAATTTATGAATAAATACAATGTAGGAATGAATGAATTTTATCAGCAACTAGAAGACCCGGCGAACTTCGTATCGCTCTATAATCAAGAAATATCTGTTACGTTTTTTTATTTATATTTTTGGAGTTTACCTTTAAACCATAAATCTCCGTGTTTTGAAGTGCGACACAATGATTGACATATTAGTTAGTTGTCAAATCTAATGTCAAAAAAGTTTCTATGGGAAATAGAAAAGGGCTGTTTTTAGGGTTTTCCCCGAAATGAACCTCCACGAATATTTCAAGTCTAAGATAAGACAAATCCATTCAGCCGTTCTCGAGTTTTAGTGAGACTAACGAACAGCAATTAATTTTTATCTCATACATATATTATAGTCGCAATTTCCTTTCCATATTTTCCATTTCACCCTTCAACACGAAGTGAATCCAGGATCGCATCTGTTCCTCATGATAATATTAACTAAATAATAGAATAGTTGTAATACAAAAACAAATTCCTGCTTCCTCGGAGCGTTGGTGAGGAACAAAGGGTAAATATTTGTAATGATGAGAATTTATCGATGTTTCAATCAAAAAAAAATTATAAATATATATATGTTACAAATAATAATAAATAAAATAAGATTTAATATAGAACGATTATAGTATAGGTGTGTAAAAAATATATATTATTAATCCCTACTAATATTATAAATGCGAAAGTAACTCTGTCTGTCTGTCTGATACGCTTTCACGCCTAAACCACTGAACTGATTTTAATGAAATTTGGTACAGACATAGAGTTGACCTTGAGAAAGAACATAGGATAGTTTATACCCCAGACTTTTGAAAGGTTCTCTTTGAAACGCGATATAAGCGAACTCCACGCGGGCGAAGAGCTAGTATGTTTAATAAAAATTGTGTTACATATACAAAGGTATCAAAATACCCTCAATTGTATACATTAAAGTAATAAGATGTATATTTTTCTTTATATAAGCATATATTTTTTGTTATTACTGACATATATGGCTAGTAAAAAGATATATTAGTGATATTTTTGTAACATATATATAAGATCATTGTACACCCTGGTTTGTTGTGTAATTAAAAATTATATAGTTGAGTTAATTATCAAAAATAACTAAGTGTTAATATTTAAGACTCATGAATTTATGAGACGATTCTGAAATGAAAAACTTTGAAATATCATATATACATATATATACGCCTATGATATTTTTCCACTTATTCAAAAAAGGTACAACAAAAATTTACAGACGGCAAACACATTACACCTTCAAAACATCTGTTCATTTGATTAAAGTAGAGAAGCAAATTCTTGGCCAATTTCATTTAAATAAATATTAATATTATATATTAAGTAATATGTAATATGTATATATGTATTATGGCTTCATTTAACCAACATTTTTTCTTAACAATTAGTTGTCACGCGTAGATGTTGCATCCACAAAGGTCAGCCAGTAAATACATTTTTTATTAAAAGGATTTCCATATTCTTAGTAAATTCTTGTACAAGTTCTTCTCGTTCGTGTTAAAGAAATTTATATGAGAATCGTGTTATTTTTCTTGTACCTACATATACATATATATATTAAAAATTCATAACCGGAATTGGATTCAAATATTGTATTGTGTAATGCTGAGTAGACGCTGCGAGGGTTAGGCCCTGTTTGTTTTTAGATAGAAGCGAGTTGGACGATCAGTTGGTCGATCAGTTGGTCGACCAGTTGGACGATCAGTTGGTCGATCAGTTGGACGATCAGTTGGTCGATCAGTTGGTCGATCAGTTGGTCGACCAGTTGGACGATCAGTTGGTCGATCAGTTGGACGATCAGTTGGTCGATCAGTTGGTCGATCAGTTGGTCGACCAGTTGGACGATCAGTTGGTCGATCAGTTGGTCGATCAGTTGGACGATCAGTTGGTCGATCAGTTGGTCGATCAGTTGGACGATCAGTTGGTCGATCAGTTGGTCGACCAGTTGGACGATAAGTTGGTCGACCAGTTGGTCGACCAGTTGGACGATCCGTTGGTCGACCAGTTGGACGATCAGTTGGTCGATCAGTTGGACGATCAGTTGCCCAACCAGTTGGTCGATAAATTTTTCGATCAGTTGATCGATTGAATGAAAATCTTATAATACTGCGATCTCTTTGAAAATCAATTAATTAATTTGCCGACTAGTAACCGAAACGTCGGGATCATCCCTACTAATTTTATAAGCAAAAGTAACTCTGTCTTTCTGTTACGCTTTCACGCCTAAGCCACTGAACTGATTTTAATGAAATTTGATAGAGATAGAGTTGACCTTGAGAAAGAACGTAGGAAATTTTTCATCCTAGACTTTTGAAAGGTTCTCTTGGAAACACGATGTAACCGAACTCCACGCGAGCGAAGCTGCGGGCGGAAAGCTAGTATAATATATAGAATTCTTACAAATATCAAATTGTCATCCATATGTCATTACGTATCATACGTCATTATATCATTTATATACGTCAATTACATAGCTGTCAATTGCGTTTTGTTACTCCAGGTCTGATTATGTTTTGTTTTATAGTGACTGAAGTTTCATGTCAAGTCCCACGGGAATGCTGTCGAACGGGATAAAAAGTATCCTATTGCAATTTCATGGCTCTAAACTACCTCCCTGCCAATTTTCAGCTAAATCGGTTCAGCCGTTCTTGAGTTATAAGTGGAGTAACTAACACGACTTTCTTTTATATATATAGATGCAACGGCCAAGGCACCATAAGAATATATGTACATATACCCTAATACTGGTCCCCTTTCTTATTACACAAAAAAAAAGAACAAATCTAAATGTATACATACGTTAATTCATGTAAATTAAAATATATTTTTAAAGAAATTTTAATTTTCATTACAAAACTAACATACTTTGTAAAATTAATATGACTTAATCGAAGTATTATAACTTCCTTAAGTTAGAAAAATGACAAATCTTTAAATAAAGTTGTAAATTTTATAATATTTTTGAGTGGAGGTATGCCTTCAAAGTGCTTATGTTGGTTTCGTTTCGTATTAAATTGAATTCATAATTTAGTGAAGTAACCGTCAAAGGGGATTCTACTCGTAAATCCTTATGACAACTACCGTATATTTAATTCATATATAATTTGACGAAAATTAGATTTTAAATAGAGTTGTTTCTGTTTTATTTTTAAGTGTATCTTTTTAATATGGAACCTGAAATTCATCAAGATGAGACGGATTATTATTCAGTCTATATTTTCTATTGCAATTTCATTTAAGTTTCTACTCAGCAACGCTTTTATGTTGCACATATAAATGTTTAAAACTTGAAAATTTTATTCTTTGAGAATCATAAGATAGTACCAAAAAAAATTAAATATAGAAAGAAGATAAGCCATTCAATCTGACCAAATCCATTCATAGTCGTTGAAATCATATACAATCTAAATTTTGAGAAACAAATTGGATAACTGTGTTTTTTTTTATTTAAAACAACAATTTGTAGTTTATAGTGATTATATATAAATTATAGAAAAGTAGATTTGAAAGTAATTTATTTCGTTATTGAGGGTAAAAATATTTTTATCAAAAAACAAACAATTCGACAGAAGTACAAAAGGTTTGGTTGATGTATCTTTCAAATACAAATAATTAAATAATTTGCTATATATTGTTACATTATCATTTTCTTAAATAATTTTCTTACGTTTAATGTTTGTTCCTAACAAAATTAAAACATGTATATACATATTTATTTCTAAGGCCGTATTAAGAACATCCTTTGAAAATTTAATATCTCATAGTGCCAAAGAAAAGCCTCTCAAAAGGAATTTTTCTAAATGAGATAGGAAAAAATAAAAATTAATATGTAATAAAATGTCCCGAGTTCATAATAACGAAATGAGATCTATTTCTTTCCATAAAAAGTACGATTAAGCCACAAAATATAGAGGGAAGTTTCTTAATAATATCTCCAACAATTTCATTAAAATTTTATTTGATGAATTCTTGTAAATTGGATTTGAATTCGCTTATCTTTCAAACAAGATGAATTGAATTCCACTTTTACAGATTTCGCTAAGTACGATATCACATTCAACTTGATATTTAAAATATGCTTCGGTACTGAAAAAATGTAATTAATTATTATTGGATTTGACGTAACATATTAACTTTTTATTATACTTTATAAAGCTAAGTTTACAACAGTATTAGAAAAGGAATAAAAAGAACAGAAATGTATATGCTTTCATACTTTTCCTTTTATTTATTTCGTTATCCTTATAAAATATTTTAATTTTATTTAAATAAATACAACAACTATAAAATAAATATTCTTTGTATACGTATACGTGTAAAAATAATTATAATGCCACAGCATAAATACAAAAATGCATTCATTATTTCATTATATTTCTTTTTACTTTTACATAATTAAATGAAATCCAATAATATTATTATAAAAATAACAAAAATATTTGTATCAAATTCCGAATTATTCTAATATTTCTTGTGTTTATATAATAGTCTAGAGTTTTCCCTAACCAGCTTTCTACCTATTACCATATTATGACTTATTCGAACTTAAATTTACATGAACTTAAGTGTGTTAACTTAATTTTAAACTTCACACTGTTTGACTAAAATTCCTGCTATGAATAGGAATTCACATCTATTTACATCACATTTGTTCAATTCTCTTATGATAGTATAGAATTAAAGTTATTTTTCATAAACTAGATACTAAAATAAAAATAACGTTTTGTTTCATTTAGGTAAGTCTAAAACTATATTATATTATAATTATGTATTAGTTATAATCCGAATATAATTGTTCCTTAGTTCTTATTTCACATTTTACATTCAAAACTAAATATTAAATTCTACATAAAATATTAAAGCATTAAAATATATTGAGTTATATTGGTAGAGTTTTATTTTTAGAACCATGAATAGATGAACGAAATCTAAAGATGCAAATAAAAGGGTCGGAATTTATCCAAACTTTAATATAAATTCTGTTAGGGGATTTTAGCCATACCAATATCATAAATGTGAAAGTTACTCTGTCTGTCTGTCAGTTACTTTTAGAGGCTGCACGCTTTTAAATGAAATTTTCTATGGAGCTTTGTAGGGTCATAGAGGATAATGAAATAGGTTACTTCGTGAACTGATAAATGACAACCAAGCGAGCGGAGTTGTAGTTTAAAGGAAGTTGAATTATAAAATTTACATGTCTGATATTATACGATATGTGTAAATGAATCACGTAAAAGTTAAACGACGATACTAGTACATAACAGTATTATTAGAGAATTTTTTCCTTACATTACAATTAAATACACTGTGATTTTAACTGAAATAAAAAACATTTCAATAAACCTCTATAACATTCATAAATGAAGAATATTTTATTTCAGATCATGAAAAATTTAGATATAACTTTTATACAATATGCTGTCTAACTTTTTGCAATATCCCTTAGTTGTCCAAGTTATTAGAACAGTAATAACAATTCAAAACTCCGTCAAAAGTATTCCTCATATATCTTCGGTGCTTCGTAAATTGTTCGTTACAGATGATATTATTATGAATGATACAATAATTTGTAAAAATGCCAGCTGTTTACAAGTATACGTCGCAGCGGTTGTAAAAGCCGTGACACTATATGTCTATGCCTTGAGTTCAATATATGTATTTGGAGCTAGTTGCGAGAGATGTTTTAAAGAAAATGTCAAGGGAAATAACGATCGCTATTTAGAAATAAAAGCAGCATAGTAAGTTGCATCATATTATAAAGCATTTTTTTGAAATTTGCACATTATTTTTTTACGTTATTAACTAAAAAAACCATTTCTGATAATGAGATTTTAAAAAATATAACTTTTCAACAAAATCGAAAGACATTCCTTCTTAAAATTTTCATTCATAAAAAATATTTTTATTCAAAAACAAATAACAGTTAAATAAAACACGAACTGTGACAACACATTTGCACAAATAAATATAAACCAATGAAATACCAACTTCTACTCTTTAAAATTTACATGATATCACTACATACACTCAAGTTAGAAACAACATTTATTATTCGTATTCTAAAGTTGTAAAGCTGAAAATCTTAAGAAGCAAAGCTGTATTTTTCTCAGCTAACCTCTCATTGATTTAGAGTCAAAATTACAACGATTAGGCAGAAACGTTTACTAATTATTATTAATGATAGGTCAGCATCAAAAATAATGAAAATATTTATAACACGACATAAAAATTTAAATCGTATGAAAACAATTATGGTTTACATTAGTATTAAAATAAAATCCACTCTTTTGATAACAAATAATGAGTGAAAGTTTGCTCTATTTTTAATATTTTCAAATAATGTAATGTATATACACATTTATTTCAAGAGAAAAAGTCAAACGACAAGTAGTTGAACAGACCCGTTAAAGGACTTGGCGATACGTTTCTAGTTTCGCGGTTTGTAAAGGAACAAGATCTAAGAAGTTATAGAAATAAGGGAAGAAAAAAGTTTTACAATACATTTAGAAGGGAGAAAGTTTATGTACCATTCATAGAGTATTTTAGTTGGAGACAATACACTATAGAAATAGTTTTCTACTTTTATTATTATTGTAAGTATTATAATACATTCATCAAATACTTATATTCGTATCAGCTTCTTTATAAAATGAATCTGTTTGTAAATAGAGAGGAATTTTAATAGTCAGTTCAATCAATACTAAAAATACATAAGGAGAATCAAAAAATCATTTAATACAAATACGTGCCTCTGTATCAGTGAAATTGTGTTATGAATTTTATTTTGATGTCGACTTTCAATCATCAATACAAAAGTCTTTACGGAGATCACAAACGTTTTATTCGACTGAGAATCTCAAAAAAAAAATGGGTGTCATTGAAATACCTTTTTGAGGCATGCCAAAGGTTTTTGCAAGGAACACTTGACTTCGAGTGCTCTTTGACCAAAGAAATCTTTGTTTTGAGAGTCCTCGTGTATAGTCCATCGTATATTAAATACTTTATACATACCATATAAAAATATATAATATAGTTATTATTTATATTCATACATATTATTGAACGGCCTATATTGAAGTCCTTTTCTCA